TACAAATAATTTTTATACTCTCGCAACAAAGTTGCTAAAGAGAGTTTTATCTGTCTCTTATACACATCTAGATGTGTATAAGAGACAGGAATACCGTTGATTAACCACCGTATTCACCAGATTTGACTCCGTGTGATTTTTTCTTGTTCACCAACATGAAATTGCCTATGTTTTCAGTCGATCGAAGAGATAAAACAAAACTCGCAGAAGTGGCTGAAGGCCAACATAATACATCTGGTAAGGATTACTATATACTTGTAATTCAATATTTTGCGTTTTATTTGCAATTTCCGCGTACTTTTTTGAAAATGTCATGCCATAAGATTCTGTGCAGTATAAAGTTATGTGGAATAGCCTTGTCATTTGTTTATGTTATAGTAAATTAATAATTGAAATTATTATTTATTTTTTTGTTTTCCGTGACTTCACAATTCACATTTCACAATTTATTAAGAATTTATTTTTCTTGAAGGTTGCGCAGTAACAGAAAGTAGGAACCACTCATTCTGAAAAACTGTAAAAATATTAAAAGCAAGTTATTAATTTTATTGTTACATTATAATTTTTATAGCAAAGTTCATTATTTGCTTACCGCAATCAAGGTGGCCAAATTCATCAGAGTAAACCATGATACTTCCAAGTTAAAAGGTCGATTAGTCCTCATAATCATCATGCGTAGCAATTGTTTGAATTTATTGCTTTCTTCATACCAATTGCAGCTGTACAACGCTAACGGAATCTCTTCGCTCTTTTAGAGTAAAAAATTTATGCATTGTATTTTTTAAATGAAAATTTTATAAAAATTAATAATTACCACGGTTGTTAGTTGCTGGCCATTAATGCAGTATAAACTAATTTGGGTTCCTGATGCCAAAATATAAAATATCATACGAATAACGACAAATATGCTGGATTTCTAAAGATTTATAAAAAAAATATATGCGTTCAAACATGAATACTTAATAGCTAAGCACGCTTTGGGCAGCCAGACATAGTCCTGTCTCTTATACACATCTAGATGTGTATAAGAGACAGGTACATATGAATATGTAATTAATAAAAAAAAAAATTAAATATAAAATGATAAGTAATACAT